ATTCCTCCCCACTCCCCAGACTGAAGGACTAAAACCAGAGTTAGGATGGATGGCAGAAGCAGAGCCAGAAAGAGAGAAGCCATAACTAATAACACCACTTACTAATGAGTGTCTGGGACCAACCCAGTCCTTGGATAGAAGAGAGCGAAGTAATGTTACTCTGTTCACTCTGGGACCCAGTGTCAAGTTATTCTTGATGCAGTTTGGGTCCTAATTTTGAGTCCTCTGCTCTGATTCTGTGCCTTGTTTTTGAAACCCACCTTATTTTGTCGGAGATATTAATTATAGGACTTCAGTATATGTATGTGCATGTGTACACATACACACACATGTATATCATTTGCTTGTTTTGATTTCTAATTTTCTTAACAACCTGGTGACTTATCTGGCTGTTGGTTCTTTTTTAAGAGTAAGGCACTAACAAGCTGATGGAACTCTCACGGGTGGGAACTGGGTTTACACGTGATGAGAATACTGAGGCTGTGACAAACTTTTGCCTTGGAGGATCAACAGCACTCAGCATCTCTAGGACTTTTCCCTTGGGTTGCAGTTTTCTTAGAATGGTAGTTCTCACACTACAGCTGCATCTGAATCACTTGGAAGCCTTAAAACAGAGAGCTGAGCCTCACCGCACTGCCCCCCCCCCCCAACTCCAAGTTTGTGATTCAGTAGGTCTGGAGAGAGACCTGGGAGAATTTGTATTTTTATCAGGTTTCCAGGTGACGCAGATGCCGTTGGTCTGGGGACCACACCTAAAATCAGTGCCTGAGCACAGTTTCTCCGCCTAGGCACTCTTGACATTTTGTGCCAGATAATTCTTTGTTGCGTGGGGCTGCTCTGTGCGATTGTAGGATTCCTGGCTTCTACCCACTAGATGCCAGCACCAAACATGTCTCAAAACATTGCCAAACCACTGACTACCCTAAGGAATCCTTCTGTCTCTTGCCTGGAAAATAAAAGCCCAGCTGTAAGCAATCTGGGAGGCAAATTAGGCCCTCGAGAGTCTGACCATTCAGCTGGGAGATTCTATTTAACTCTTTTATTTTCGGCATTGCCACTCACTGGTATGAGCCCACTCTACGTTTTCACCTGTATACCTCTCTAAAGATAAATCTCTTCAACAGGGGAGAGGTGGGCCAGGTTTCTGGTGGTGGGGGAGGCGCCTGCAGGGGGAACCGACCCTCACATGGACTTTCAACCTATCCTGCCATTTGCAGCCTTACTCTGAAGCTCCGTTTTCAGAAATGTCTACTGTCCCTAAGAGTTGAGTCTTTCTGAGGTTTGGCAGACTAAGCAGCTGTCTCCCGCAAGCTCGCGGTTCGTTGTCTCTGATCTGCTGAATCGATTACTGTTCACCCATCTGCTTTCCTGAGTCCAAGGTTCTGTTGACATCTTTCATCGGCTGTTATCTGTTCCCCCATTCTCTTTGTTCTTGGAGATCTGGGCCCTTTTCTCTATCTATTTTCATTCTGGAGTGTTACAGAGGAGCAACAATAAACATGTGTGTTTAATCTGCTGTGTATAACCGGAATTCCCAGCTGCTTCTTTGAAATTAGCCTTTGGTAAAAGGGAGAGTAGAAAGGGAATAACAGTATGTTAAGATTTTGGTTAAAAATGAAGAAATCGGAAGGTATAAAATACATTCTATTCATATTTCAAAAAAATATATTTTTTTTGCCTAAAGCCCCAATTGTTACACTTTGTTTTCACCTGTTCAATAAAAACAACATTTAAGGTAGAAAATATAGGCCTTAAGAGACTCTGAAATATTGAGCAAGACACTATTTATTAAAACCTTTTACAAATGCCAAGTATATACCACGTTAGGTTATGATTCCTCACTTAAAAATAAAAAGATCATAAGCCTTTATTTTACCCACAAAATCAAAGCAATATATGCTTACAGTAGACTTGCTCTCTATTTTGAAAATAACGTTGGCAATGAACCAAATAGCTTAGAAGATTTAAACCCCTTGAAGCATTTAGAGATTTTTTTTTTGTTTATTGTTGTTATTAATATTCTAGTCAGAGGACCCGCTTGGCTGCTCCCCCAAATATTAACAATCTGAAATCGGAATGCAATCTGAAAGTGTGATTTAGGTAATAGTCAGACTTGCTCTCGTGTAACTTTTCTTATTGTTGAGAGAAAGCCCAGCTCGTGACTTTTGGGGATCAGGTGGGATTTAGCCATAAGTAACCAAAAAAGGATATTGAATTTAAATTCAATAATTAAGAAAATGACAAGTGAAAATTCTTCACAAATAAATATTTGGCTCTGGGAAAATTACCAGATCCCTCAGGAGTAAATCTCTCTCAGTAGAGAAATTGTACAAACATCATAGCTAAAATGAACTACATGTCTAATGAGTCAAATTTTCATTTGGCATTTGACTTCTTTTGAGCTTTCTCCAGTTACAGCCACATGTGACAAAATGCTCTCCAGTTACTTCTAGAAATGCTCAGTGCTTTTTGGATACTAGCACTTTGAAAAATTTTGGTCAGCACATGTTCCTTAAATATAAATCCATATTTCCATTGCGTTATAACTTATTTGAAGCCCAATATATGACAGACCACAAGATTTCTGCTAAAATTAGATAGTATATGGTGCTTTCAAGCTAACAAACATTGAGCAATAATATGGCATTCTTGCCCTTGATTTTCACAACACCTGTTGGCTTATGATAGTGTATTGTGCAACCTGAATGTGCTAAGATGGAAAGTCAATGGAGGATGTGGGAGGAGGAAGAAAAGGTCATAGATACATGATAGTATGTCAAAACTATATATCCAGATCTAGATGTAGATGTATTAAAATACATAGAACCTATATTTTCTATAAATATATGTATTACAATAATGTAAAAATAATACACAAACCAAACACACACACACATACACATATGTATGTGTATATATACATATATATGTATGTAAGAAGTAAAGTGCAAATGTAGTTTACAATGTCAATGAAAACTTAGAGATGAAGAAGATATACATGAGAATTATTGCCATAAGAACCAGTGAAATAGATTAGACATTTGGAGATCCAGTTATGTGACCTCAAATATAAATCATCTGGCTCTTCTGAAATCACTTCTGTAAAGTGAAAATCATATCTGTCTTAACTTTCAAGGGGCTTATGAGGATTTGTTGAGATAACATATGTGAAATCACTTTAAAAGTTGTATGTATCAGATGAATGTAAGTTGTTAAATAGAAGCAGAATCCTAGAAAAATAGAACTAGTAATGTCCACAAGAAGTTGATTGGTTCATTTACCTGCCTACGCCACACTGGGGAGTAACTTACCTGTATATGCTTTTTACTTATCTTGTGGTATTTCAATTCCTGCAAACACTTAAAAATTGTATTTATGAAAATAAGGCATAGTATTATTTTATAGTATAAAATAGTTTGGAAAATAATTTTAAATTATTCAAAAGTAACAATCTATTATGCAAATGGATTCTTATTACACAGATGATATTACTTAATTCCATAGAGATGAGCTCCCAAAGAGCTCATCTGACGTCCCCTGATAGACTTTGGGGGCCTTTGTGGCTCCCTTGAAAGTGAGCGTGAAAGTGTGTGTATGTGTGCCAAGGGGCAGTTTTCTGGGAAGAATATACATTGCTGGGAAGAGAGTGCATTAGTTGCTTGTGTCCATCCAGAAAGACTTTTCCTGGGAGGAGGGAAGAAGTTAAAATTTAGAAGTAATAGCTTACCTTCACTGAGCGCTTAATACATCCAGGCACTATGAGAACATTCATTAACTACACCTACCAACTACAATGACCTCATGAGAGAGGAAAAGATCCATAGCACCTTTTAGGAAATGCTTGAGTCCAAGTATAGGTCCTATTAAAGTGTGTAAACTGGGGCCAGATTTTGGAATTCAGAATTTTTAAGTTTTTAGAAAGATAAGTTGATGCCTTTACCATACATTAAACAATATATCCAAGTGGTTCTTGGAGATGGCCTCATAATCCTAGAGGCATAAATAAAAGTTTTAAAAAGATTCATATTAGTTCATTCCATACAGATCACATTCTGATGCAAAAAAAAAAAAACCAGCTAGGAAAAAGCATTTTATTTTCATAGTTTTTAGGGTTTTGGAATTGCAGTTTCCAATACAGGTTATAAACCTGTATTATTATCATCCTCAGTTAATAAATAAGAAAATGGCTTCAGGAAGTTAGTAGTAGCCCTGGTTTGCACAGCCAGCAGATGACCAAGCAGCCTACACGTTCGAGTCTTCTGAGTCCTGGTCTGTGATATTTTAAGAATTCAATGCATATGGACTAATGAAAAATCCTAAGAGACACTATTTGGTTTCAGTTCACAGCTACCACCAGCCATCCACCTTGGGAAAGTGGGAGAAGGGAGACAGTGGCAGAGTCCAACCCTTTCCTAGAATCCTGAAATGCTGATGGGAAAGTTGACTGTCCAGAGTTAGATGCGTTGGTGGCCAGTCCATGAGATCTCCCCAAGAAGAATTAGAAGGAGTCTACGGAACATTCTTAAAAGTATTTCTTGAAGACCTACTGTGTTTTAGGTACTATTCCAGGCACTGGCAATGCAATGAAGTATATGAAAGTTTCTACTGTGGTAATATACAAGTATATACTTAGAATACACGTGACACCTTCATATAGAATTTGGAAAAAAGTTCCGACTGTAACATGGGTTCTCCTTAGCTTATAATAGTCTCATAGACATATATAAATCTCAATTCAAGGAGAGACGCTTTCACAGGAAACCAGAAGAATGAGAAATTCGTTAAGCTGCTGTGTTCCATTCTTCCTATGATCAGGCAACCAAGGTGTTAATTCCTCATGCCCTTAAAATATTTGGAAAAGATAAATAAGTAGGGAAGAACACTTCTTCGGTCAAGAGGCACCACAAGAGCAGGATAAGGATCACCGACAGGAACCCATCAACAAGGATTCAACTGAGTCATCAGCAAGGCAAAGCCAGAGAAGGGATCCAAGTGGGTGAGCAAGGGCAGAGGTGGTGGAGATACACAGAGGGCCACCCCAAGCTGGGGGCAGGGGACAGAGGCTGGGCCCTTCTGAAGGTTGAGTCACAGCTTCAGGAATCAGCAGCAGGCTAAGAAAAAGAGAATGACCTCCCATGAGGTTCCTTTTCCGCCTAAGGCCAGACTATACGTTGAGACAGCATGGCTGGAGTGGAGGACTGGGCGCCAGGCATCTCTTCATGGATTTATCAGAACAGTAAAAGCAGAAAGAAGATGTAACATGATACAAGAAGATTCCATGAAACTGTGACTACAGATGGATCAACTCAACTGGAAAGTATTCAAAGTACATTATGGGATGACGGTTTTGTGAACAAGCTGGAAGCCTAACACCTACTCGTAATATCATTTATATATTAAAATGAGTTGTGTATTCCAAGCAACCAATGTAAAAACAGAAATTTTAAAGAATTCTGGCCTGGAGATAGATACTTAAATTACAAGTTCTGTCAATCGCAGAGGCTGCTGCTAAGAGCCACTAGGTGGCAGTGTGGTAGTGATTTGCTGATAAACAAAAACCGGAATAGAGTTGAATCTCAAAGCTATTACTTTTTTCTGACATTTAAAAGTTCACAGTAGAAAATGTTCATGGAATAATGGATGGAAAGTCAAACAATGACTACCATGTGAACAGCCATTGTCATATAAAATAAAACTGTTTTACAAGTAGTTAACAGTGGAGCATTTTATAAAAAGTCAAAATAGAGTGTCGTCGGCTATGTTCTTAAATGATTCTTCTGATAGGTGGATGTTAGAGGTATCTAAAACATAGAAAGGTGTTGGAGTAGGACAATGGATACTTCTCTCCCAGCCCTTCCAAAAGCGAGACTCCCTAGCTGTACCTCGCAAGCTTCAAGGGCTTTTTGTCCCCAGGCCTCACTTCTCACCAATCCTCAGTCCCTGTTTCCTTTTGAGATGCTATTGGGGGGAGACCAATCCCTGACAAGACACTTCACATGACTATCTTCTGCCATTCTTTTCATTTGTATTTGCCCCAATAGTGTACAAAGACACACTAACATTTTGCGTTGTAAAATTTCCATGTTCTTCTTTCTTGGACCATCACTTACTTGCTGTGTGATGTAGGACAAATTACTTAATCTCTCTGTGTTTCATCTTCTTTATCTGTAACATGGAATGACAATAGTATTAACCTCTTAGGGTTACTGCAGTACTTAACATGAGTCCACTTAAGAAGTGCTCAGACTGATAGGTCACGTGGTAAACACCATGTCATAGTTTGCTCCCAACCGGAGTATAAGGCAAAAAGAAAGAAACTGCATTCTGTTTCCCTTTTATTAGTGTCTTTTAAGTGCTGGATATATAACATATATGCTCAATAGATATTTAAATGAATGAATGAATGAATGAATGAGTGAATGGCTAAAATATTATGGTACACACGAGATGTGGGATGACTTAATAAATACAATGTGACTCAACATTTGGAACATTTTTTTTCTTAAAGGTTTTATTTTTAACTAATCTCTACACCCAATGTGGGGCTTGAACTCATAACCCTGAGATCAGGAGTCACATGCGTCACTGACTGAGCCAACCAGGCACCCCTGGGACATTTTTTTTATGAACATAGTCTTGCATGATTAAAGACAGAACACTTTAACTATAAATGGATCTTTAAAATATTTCTTTATCCTTTAGATTGACCAAGCATTATTAAATACCAGAATAATAGTTAAGAAAGATTAGTTGAATTCCAAAATATTGACTTAGAATAGTAGACAGCTTCAGTTAGAAGTTACCTTTGAGATAAATAGGTTGACCCTCTTATTTTTAGATTAGAAACCAGGCCTTTATATTTAGTGTTTTGTTTTTAGTATTTTGCTTCCCCAATTTGGCAAAAGCCATTAGTATGAGTATGTTAAGTGTGGCTAATTTTGCTGTTAAAAATGTATGTGAGGAATACTCTTGACATTCTATATTTTTGTATGGTTGTATCCATTTATATAATATTTAAGCATAATTTTTGGAACTGGCTTCTTTACCATCAAAATATAAACATTTATTCTTAGATCTGTTCTTAGCCTTTTTCAAATTATGAAGCACTTACTTAACTGCACCAATTTATTGTGTGCTTTCTTCCCCTTTGATACCATCCCTCGTTCCTTGAAGAAAGTAAGTTAAAACTCAACTAATCAGAAACATTTTAAACTCAAAAGATCTGAGCATTATTCTTGAAAATAGCTGGAACTAAAATGACATATATTACATTTTGGAGCAAATTTTTTGGAACAGGAAGATGTTAATTCATGCACAAAACGTGCCCAGATGCAAACTCACCTAGTGTTTCTGGGTGCAGCCTGCACACAAAAAACAAATTCTCTCCTCTTGGTGAGTTTGCCAAGGAGTCAGGGGGTCCTGTTTGTTTGTTATTGTTTTAAATGATGATCTTGCCATTTTTTTTATTTAAAAAAACCCATTTTTAATGTTTAATGTTTATTTATTTTTGAGAGAGAAAGAGAGAGAGCGCGTGAGTGGGAGAGGGGCAGAGTGAGAGGTAGACACAGAATCTGAAGCAGGCTCCAGGCTCCGAGCTGTCAGCACAGAGCTTGATGTGGGGCTTGAACCCACGCACTGAGAGATTATGACATGAGCCGAAGTCGGACGTTTAACCTACGGAGCTGCCAGCCAGCCAATGATCTTGCCATTTTTAAGTTCAATATTAATTTTTTTATCGCCATAAATATCAGCGTCACCTTAAATGAAATCACAGGTACCGTTCAGACACGAAAACTTGTATGCATTCACGAGCAAGAGCGGTGCAAGGCTTTTAGTTTAGCAGAAATCTCATTGCTGTTCAATTTAGGATCTATGTATTTCTTTGCACTTTTGGCACAGTCCAGGACTGAGATTATGCTTTAAATATCATGGCGTGAGTGGGTTTGACAGCATGAGAACATGTCTGATCTTGGCATGAGTAGATTGAGTGGAGATTTGGAGCCAAGTATGCTGACAAGGAACTGGAGGATAAGAAAATGTAGGCTGTGAGGATGGACAGGTTTTTAGAAAGAAGTTTTGCGGGGGAGGGGAGGGAGAAATAGCTGAGGGGGACCTGAGGTCACAGGAGGCTGTTAGTGGTTGATTTAGGTGGGGAGAGGTGCTACAGCATGGTTGCAAACTGAGACAGGGGAGACACCTTGGTGTGCTGGAGGGGAAAGGCTTCAGATACAGAGGGACGCTACAATTTTCCCACTGAGGCAAAAGAGAGGGAAGGAAGTGAAGGTCAGACACAAGCAGCTGGTAGATTTAGTGAACTGGAATATAATCACTGTGTTTATTTTCTCAGTAAAGTCCAAGACAGCCACAGGTGATGTGTTAGGTTTATAACCTGGATCCTGCTAGAGGTTTTCAGCTTTTAAAAATATTTTAATGTATATTTGATACATTCCAAAGAGTGTTTGTCATGCATGTGTAAGTTATGAAGTTTGTATAGTAAAGGAAAGGCCTGTGCTCCTACCTCCCGCCCGAGAGCTACACATTGGAACTTGACCACAACGGGGGTGCCTGGGTGGCTCATTCAGTTAAGCCTCCGACTCTTGACTTCAGCTCAGGTCGTGATCTCATGGTTCATGGGTTTGAGCCCTGCGTCCGGCTCTGCGCTGACAGTGTGGAGCCTGCTTGGGATTCTCTCTCTCTCTCTATCCCTCTCTCTCTGCTCCTCCCCTGCTCTCTCTCTCTCTCTCAACATAAATAAACTTTAAAAACAACAACAACAACAACAACAACAACAACAACAACAACAACAACTTGACCACAACCATCCACATGCCTGTGATATGTTCCTTCCCGATCTGGTTGATCTGTCTCTTCCTCAGAAGCATCCAAGATGTTGAAATGTGCATAGAAAGACATAAGCATAAACTAACGATCTAGTGCATCCTAAAGCCTTCCTGCATGATTGTTTCATGAGTGACTACTAGCAGTTATATTGTTAAATAGACTTGGATCAGTTAGCAACTCTGGTGGATGCTGAGTATAATCTAATACAGAATTTTGAGTAGCTCAAATTTAATTCCTTTAAAATTACACCATGAAAAAGAGGCCTTCTGAGGGATTAGAAACAAAAGGAAGATGGGTTTGAATAAAGTTTGCATGCGCACTTGACTCATGTCTGAGTCACAACCAATGCTGTAGAGCAGGTGTGATTCAGTCTATAAACTCTGCTGGCAGGAAATATCCCATTTGTTTATTATTTTAAATCCACAGAAAATCTGCTTTCAGCTCCTATACTGTCAGACAGGTGAGAAGCTCAGCCTTAGTCATTAAGGCTGCAGAAGAATCCAGGAAGTGTATGTGGTGCCGACAAAGTGGAGGAAGGCTTCATCTCTAGTTCATCGTGGTCAGCTCATCCTCAAGCTTGAAGCCCATGTACCCTGTGCTTTAAGCCCTCGGTACATGTGTACCGAGCCACATGGAGGCTCGGAAGCCTGTGCTTGAGACCCAGCCTCAGTGGAGCCAGGAAACAACCAGACCCCTGTACAGAACTACCATTTCTTTGGGGCCCTGCCCTGGCACCGTGCTCAGAATCCTGCACAGAGAACTCCATTCTTTTCCTTCTCTGTTGAAATCTTTCCACCTCCCTCTGTTGACTTCACAGGCTCTACTTCCTCTTTCCTCTACCCCTGCTGCGCTTATCCTAATGACATCAAGGAGGTGAGGCTTTCACAAAAACGAGGAAAATTCTGTTATTTCAAGTGGCTTCTTCTTTTCATTTGGCCACAATTATCCTGTGAGTCGAAGGAGCACAGCCCTGAGCTCTGCTTAAAATTGGCAGTGGGAAGAGAGGGGAGGAGGGAGACACATTTAAACTCATTGCTATCTCAGTGAATAATCCTGCAACCTTTCTATATAGTACATGGACTTTTTATTAAAGAAAATGTTTCTTAAAAAAAAAAAGAAAGAAAGAGAAAAGGAAAGGCTGTGATCTCTGTGGCATTGGATTTTTCTTAGGTTTATTTATTTTTGAGAGATAGAGAGAGTGTGTGAGCAAGTGGGGAAGGGGGGGAGAGAGGTAGAGAGAGAATACCAAACAGTCTCTGCCCTGTCAACGCAGAGCCCGATGCAGGGCTCCAACCCATGAGTCATGAGATCCTGACCTGAGCCCAAGTCAAGAGATGTTTGAGCCATCCAGGTGCCCTTATGTGTCATTGGATCTTGATCTTGTGTGACTTTCTGTTGGGAAAATGTGGATGCCTACCACCTAATTCATGTCCTTTTTGGTGGATAAGATGACTGAGTTCCAGAGACAACACAGTAAAGTAGGCTTTGCAATTAGCAGCATTAAGAACCAAATCTGTTCCTACTCAGCTATATAGTCTCTCTGAGATTCAATTTCTTCATCTGTAAAAGGAAGGTCATTACACCTACCTTACAGGGTTGTCAGGAGGTTTAAAGAGTTTACTTGCATGCATGGCATCTTACACAACGACTGGTAGCTGGAAGGCGTTCAACAATGCTAGTCTCTTCCTCCTTGCTCAAAGCCACCTGGGCAGTATGTGCAGATCCAGAATGAAATCCCAGGTTCCCCTCCTTCCCGTGCAGTTCCTCTCAGATTGCACCATTAGTGTGGTCCTCTGAGAAAGGCAGTGGAAGATGGACAACCAAGCCCTATTAACAGTAGGCAAATGTGTTACCAGCAGACAGGTGGTCTGCATGCTCAGTGTGAAGAGGACATGGCATTTATCAATCAATCCTTTTCGTTTAAAAGATTCATAATATTTGCAAAAACACTTGGTAGCACCAATCGCCTTTGTCTCTGAGCTGCAGAGGATGGGCTAAGGCCTGACAGTAACAAAGGGTCGGGCTCCCAGCTGCCATTTTTCTCAAGCTGGCTTTCTGTTCCCAAAGATAAGCCAAGTGGTCAGCAGGCAGTTGACGAGCGGCATTTGTCATGCTCCAGGGTGAATGGAAATGAGGCCAAGGTTGTGAGTTCTCTCCCCTTATGGGTAGGTACGTTCCAGAGAGGGACAACAATGTGCCAAGACTGATGAGTCCAGCCCGGACCCTGACCAAGCAACTCTCTGATATGTATGACCTGTCACCAGGACAAACACATCAGGGAATGTGACGGCTCAGCTCAAGCCAATCACCACCAAGGAGACAATTCCATTAGTGAATCTTCCTGACAGAGCACTGCTTGTATCCTGCTAAATGAAGAACAATGTACTCATTCTTACTACATGTCATAGACTTAAGCAAATCGGATATGTAATTATTAATTCATTTATTCATTTAACCAACATTATTAAATCTGGGGTTGTCTAAACTAACATAAACACATTCTCTGTCAGTAGATTTCTTTGCATTAGCTATTAAAATGAAAGTGAACATTTATTAATACAATGCATCAAGCACTTTATATGAGTTATCTCTTTAATTATCAAGAAAATACTTGTGAGAGATTTTCTAGTATCCTGCTTTACAGGTGAAGTTCAGATTGCTAGGGTCACACACAGTGGTAGAGCTGGGATTTGAATCCTGATTTGCCCGTATTTAATCACTTTATAATACCACATTCTAGGGTCCAACTTAGTGCATGCCAGTATGTCTAAAAGAGGAAGAAGGAATACTAATAACAGTTAGTAGAGGAAATACCAGGGAAGTGGAAGTAAAATTTTTGATAACTGATTCTGTTTGAGTATTTGCCATAGGTAAAATGGGCATCTCATAGTGATTTCTATTCAGAAACATTCAGAGGAGAAATTCACCGTATTTTCACATGCTATGGGTAGTAGTCCTAAGCAAGTACTTATGATAATGTAGTCATTTCCTACCTGAAAATGTGGTAATCAATCTTGCTACAGTAGGTAGTGTTCTATAAATGCTTTAAAATGCACATATATTGACTCTTAAGCTGGAAAACTCATGTTCTAAAATGCTGGTCATAGCACATAAAAACTCAGCTACCCACACTAATATTGGGAGAGCACCTGCCATCACTTTTCCTCACATCTGTATATTGTGCCCAGACACCTGACAAATTCTTTGATGATTCTTTGGTTCTGTGTGCCAGAAGGGAAAGATAATTGCTATAAAACTGTGACCCTTTGAGAGGGAGAAGCACATCCTTGTACTTATGTCAGAATCTGGATATGTAATACACTCTTCTTTCAAATCTCCACCCCTCCATGCAAGATGGGGAATTTTCACCTTGCTACACAATCCTGTGATGGACTTTGTACAGGACCGGTTTCCAGCCACTTCATAAGTGCACCTCGGGCAGTGTTTGTACTTACATGTGCTTGTGTAAAGTGTTGTTACTCAACTATACAGTCTTTTTTTTTTTTTTTTAATTTTTTTTTCCAACGTTTATTTATTTTTGGGACAGAGAGAGACAGAGCATGAACGGGCGAGGGGCAGAGAGAGAGGGAGACACAGAATCGGAAACAGGCTCCAGGCTCTGAGCCATCAGCCCAGAGCCCGACGCGGGGCTCGAACTCACGGACCGCGAGATCGTGACCTGGCTGAAGTCGGACGCCTAACCGACTGCGCCACCCAGGCGCCCCATACAGTCTTGAATGTAAGTTATAATCAGACATTTACTAGCCATTAGATGCTTACCAGCACCAGCCAAGAGTGGAAGACCAGCCTGAAGAAAACCAGGAGTTGGGGAGTGGTGACTGTCAGTGCCACCACCATTCACCATCTGCCGCTTGCATTGAGTCCTTGTGGACTTATAAATCCACAATCACACTTCCTCCTTTCCAAACTCCTCTTTGAGAAAATAGGACTTCTAAGAATTATTTCTCATTGTTAGCTTCTGAAACAGGTGGTTGGGTATAGAAGAAGGAACGTCAGTAGTCCAGACATTAGTTCTGATTCAACATAAGGTATTGGTCTTTCCAATTCAAATATTCTCTATAAATTTCTAACTCTATTTCTCTCAGTTTATATGATGAAGTTTATCCTCCTCAGGTAGCCCCTTAAAAGTCAGAGGATTCTTGGGGCGCCTGGGTGGCGCAGTCGGTTAAGCATCCGACTTCAGCCAGGTCACGATCTTGCGGTCTGTGAGTTCGAGCCCCACGTCGGGCTCTGGGCTGATGGCTCAGAGCCTGGAGCCTGTTTCCGATTCTGTGTCTCCCTCTCTCTCTGCCCCTCCCCTGTTCATGCTCTGTCTCTCTTTGTCCCAAAAATAAATTAAAAAAAAAAACAAAAAAACGTTGAGAAAAAAAGTCAGAGGATTCTTAATATTGTAAAAGTTTTCCCATGGAACTCACCCCATGATATGCAGAGGAGACATTTTGTATGTGTAATCTTACCTCCACAAAACTTATTGACAGACCATGACTTATGCCTCAATATGTACCCCATCTATAATGCAGAGGTGGTTACATACTATGCGTTCAGTAACACTATGTTTGTTTTCTATTACTGCTCTATTAGTGGTTTAAACAATATAAATTTATTATCTTCGAATTCTGGAGGTCAGAAGTCCAAAGTGAATCTCCCTGGGATGACATCAAGATGTCGTCAGGGCAGTTCCTTCTGGATACTCTGGAGGAAATTCAGTTTCCTTGCCTTTTCCAACATGTCTTGACTTTGGAGCCCCTTTCCTCCATTTTAAAGCCAGTAACATAGCATCCTCAAATTTCTCCCTGACTCAGAGTCTCTTGCCTTTCTCTTTCACTTAAAAGAACTCTGGTGATCATATTAAGCCCACCTGGATAATCCAGGATAATCTCCCCATGTCAAGGTCAGCTGATTAGCAACCTTAATTCCATCTACAATTTAATTCCTCATTGCTATGTAACACAATATATTCACCATTTCTGGGGTTTGGGGCATGGACATCTTTGAGGAGACATTATTCTGCCTACCACAAATGCTAATCAATTAAGTAAACACAAAAAGGATTGAAGTAAAATCAGGATGGATTCTCAAAATCTCATCTTTTAATTCCCTAAAAGTTTTTTGGAAACTCTTAAGGAAGAAATTATTACATCTGATTCAATTTGATATTCTGATCATATTTATATTTATATCATTTTGAGACTTTATTTTTTTTTTGTTTTTTATTTTTGTGTTTGTTTTGTTCGTTTTTGTTTGTTTGTTTTATTTGTTTTTAGCAAATACCTTTGTGTAAGGTTTTCTGCTATTGAATTCAGCTGTCTGGCATCCTTTATGATAAAGTTCAAGGTTATACTGCTTCAAGTTGTGTGTCTTGTTGAACCCTTTTTTTTTTTTTTCTCTTGATGTTTAATTTCCCTGATGGAGTCAGACCGCCAGACAAGGTGTGTCATCTTTGAGTGACATCTGTCTGGAAGCAAAATATGATGTCGGAAGCTTTAAAATGTTTCCAATACACTTGGGCCATATAAGATTTTAAGTGCCTCTAATGATTGAGCCTTATTGACATTAGGGTCCATAAACTCTCAGCATTAATGTTTATTATTTGACAAATGATATCACTTGACATTTTCTGGAAAGAAAGAAAGAAAGAAAGAAAGAAAGGAGGGAAGGAAGGAAGGAAGGAAGATGCATGATAATAACCAATATGGTCTATTACTTTATCTTGCTTTTAACACAACACATGACATCAGAATTCTTTAGCTAATTGACAACTGAGACTATTCTATGGACAATGCAAAATGGTCAAACATGAATGACTTTTAAATAAAGACACAGTAGGAAGGCCCAGTTTTACTTATTGTTTTCAGTTCAGGTTTTAGTGGTTGGTTGCTTTGTTGTTTTCTCTCATTTAAGAACCTACAGAGATTTGTTGAATGAGAAATGGAGCATAATCAGGCTTAACTTGCCTCAAAATTAAATGAAGCCCACTCCAACTTAAACATCCCAATAACATTTAAATTATATACAAGTGAATGAGGATATTCCAGTGCAGTACGTTCCATTGCATAGGCGATAGAGTGATATTTGTAGTGAATATACACTCTGTGCATATTTGTGACATTTGTCCACGAGCAAAGACCTGGAGGATGTCTTGGAATTGATGCAGGATGACATCAGTGCATCATGGCAGCCCTTGTGAGTGGGAAGTTTGTTGTTAAGGTAACAGGCTGTTAGGCACATTGAAACATGCTCTTTGAAAGCTTTCCAGAAAATAAATGGCCACAGGATGACATTTCACTATGTCTTCTCTACTTTCTCTAACCCTGCTAACTGGATGAAATAAATACTAAAAGGTGTAATTACGTGCTTCCTACACCCTGACACATTTGTAAATTCAGTTCAATAAGTTTCAGATATTCATAAACTGTTCCTGTTATTCTATCAGTAGACTAAACTTGGCAGGGAAATAGAGTTCCCACAAAGCAAAAGCACAGACATGTCTCTTGACCTTAACATGAACATTGACCTCGTCTTTGGACAGGGATGCTTAACCTCAGGCTTATGAATAATTGGGTAGTCTGAAAGGATGCCAGGCCAATACTGAATTCTCTACAAGCACAGGAAAAAATTGTAGATGTGATGGCATTAGTATTTTTCTATAATTTTTTAATGTTTATTTTTGAGAGAGAGAGAGAAAGAGCACAAGCAGGGGAGGAGCAGAGAGAGAGGGTGACCCAGAATCTGAAGCAGATTCCAGGCTCTCAGTTGTCAGCCCAGGACCCGATTCGGGGCTCAAACTCACAAGCTGTGAGGTCTTGACCTGAGCCAAAGTTGGAAGCTTAACCAACTGAGCCACCCAGGCACCCTGGTGTTAGTCTTTTTTTTGGGATGAGGAGCTATAGTTTTTTTGTTTTGTTTTGTTTTTTACCAGATTCTCAAATGACCTGTGTCTAGTAAATAACAACAAAGAAAATAAAATGGCTATGGACCAGAGATTTAGAGTCTTATTTTTCCCCACCAAGATGTTGCTTACAAACCGCAGAAAAAATGTTTTGGGTTCATAATGAGCTGTTTTTTGGCTACCATGAATAAGCTGAGCAGTAGCTTTGGAAAATTAATGTGAAAACATAAAAATGTAATTGCTAAACAACCTGTGCATTAAGCATCAGTTTCAATTAATTTTAGCTAAGAATTGGGCTATTTTAATTGTAATATCTTACAATCACATTTATAATTAAAGTTAATAGCTTTAAAACTCATTTCAGAGGCTCTGCAAACCATAGTGTGTTCTTGTTTATTCAAGGATTTCTCTTTTTTTTTTTTTTTAAATATGAAACACCATATTGTCTTGATGGACTTCCAGAATATTGGAAATGTACACATTTTTTTGTCTTTAATGATAGCATAAAAAGTGAGATTCTATTGTTAAAAGAAACAAAGGAAAATTATTTAACCCAATATTCCATTGTATTGTAAGTTTCATATAGAACTCAATATTCTAATCGGTTTTTGACTGCTTTGGACCTACAGTAAGAAGCTAAATAGCTTTCTTGAAAAGTAGCAGTAACAAATATCATTAAAATTTTATAAAATTATCAGAGGCTTTATCTATAATGTATAAAAGAAAATGTTGACTGTGTTTTGGTAAGCACATAGCTGGTGAACCTAGAAAATCCAGACCATATTGGGTGGCCTTGATTCAAAATTACTAGGAACAAAACATGACTCTTCTAGAATGGAGTCAAATCAGTAATTTTAAGAAACTTCTAGAAAACGACTTAACTTTGTGGAGATGATGATAGAATTTAATTACTTCTGTGATTATTTTCATTGATTTTTTAATGTACTTTTGGGTTTTTGGCATAATTTTATATTGGATCTGGTATAGAATGCAATTTCAGGGATGCATTATCTTAGAATCGTTTTCAAATAGCCTTTTAACTTACAAAAGATTTCATTTCACTGAAAGCTCAGACCTTCTCCCTGAGGTCCCTCAGGTCAGCCCCAAATCTCCACAACTCAGGATCTTAAGTGAACTACCCATATTGTAAGTCATCGCCAAGAGAATGGAGAGGATGTTTTCCAGTCACACGGGACTTTTGTCTGAAACAGCATAAAAATAACACACAGATGTATGGGTGAAGAAATCATTAAATAATAAAAGGCATGTCTGTAATTCTGTAGCAAAGCTAAATGTATCGTACAGCCCCAGTTCTCCAGGATTGTCCAGATTCTTACACTGCTCCCATCTTCTCTCCTTGGGGTTAGACTATGAGTGCTTAGTCCCAAGGGCAAAGGATAAGGTGCACGGTGTGAGCTGGGTGGGCTAGAGGCTACAAATATTGACAAGTGGCTGTGAACAAGAAATAACAGAACAGAGGTGCCACTGGAGGAGAAATCACTGACACAGAGACAAGGGCACCTTTTTTACCCCAATAAGTCCCCTGAAAGAGGTTCCTGCTAGACCCCCCCCCCCCCCAAGGCAGCAGGAAACCCTCAGCATGGAAAATATTTCTGGGTTTTGTTTCTTACTAACAATTTATTTTTCTCATTACAGAGTAACAAATGTTCACTGTACAAAACTTGGTAATACACAGGAAACAAGATTCCCCCCCTAACCACTCCAACCAGTAAGGACAATGGCTAACATTTGGTTATTTTCTTCCCAGCACCTTTCCTACACATATATCTCTATCCACCCGTCTCTTTGCACACCGCCCAAACCCTGGAATCTAATTATTTTTTTGTTATTTTTTACGTTTATTTACCTATTTATTTTTGAGAGAGAAAGAGAGAGAGAGAAAAAGCAAGTGTGAGCAGGGGAGGGGCAGAGAGAAAGGGAGAGAGAGAATCCCAAGCCTCTGCTGTCAGCACAGAGCCCAATGCGGGGCTTGAACCCATGAATCATGAGATCATGCCCTGAGTCGAGATCAAGAGTCAGATGCTTAACCAGTTGAGCCACCCAGGCACCCCTGGAATCTAATTTGTAATCTAACTTTATTCTCTTAATGTTTTGTGCTTAAACATTTTTTCCAGAGACACTGGCTTCTAACTTCCCCTGGGCCTGATGGGCAATCCGTTCCTCCTGATGTCATCCCTTCCCCATTATACATATTCTTCAAAGAAGGAAGGAAGGAAGGAAGGAAGGAAGGAAGGAAGGAAGAAAGGAAGGAAGGAAAGAAGGAAAGGAAGAAAGAAAGATTTACTTTGGCCTGGGACATTTTCCTCTGCTATTTCAGGACACTGGCCCTCACTGTGCCTAACTCACCCCCTCTATCTCCCCTATCAAAATTTCAACACAACTTGTTTATACTTGAAGGACAGAATTGTATAAAAATGGAGGAAGAAAGGATGTTTCATTGATCTAAATCTGGGATGTGAATAGTTTTCCATACAATTAATCAGTCAATTTGCTCTAAACGTCTTAAGGTGGGGCAATGATCGAGTGGCCCAATAGTTATTAAGTACTTGATTAAAAAAATGCTGAATTGAATTGGATTTTGTTGTGTGTGGGGGGGGGGGGGGTGGGATTTGAAAGAAGCCTGAAGAGAACAGGGAGGCAATTAGCTGCCTGCATGGAGGTGGAGGCAGCGTGCCAGAGGGCTCCCCTCAAGGGAGAGAAGTGTTAGGAGAAGGGGCCTAGGCATGAAAAAGGAAGTATCAAAACTTGTAATCTCTTTTTGTCTTCAATCAAGCAGATGCTTCCATCCAGCGAGGCATTTCCTGTCAGAGAGCTGTGGAAACAACTCCTCAGCTTCTCCTGTCCAGGAAGGTGTTCCTTATGCTGAGCTGAATGGTTTGGATAAAACAGGAAGAGTTGGGTGAGTCCAGATAGAACTGTATTGTGTTGGCAAATAAGAATTCCTTAGGCTAGGGCAGCCTTAGGCAAAACTATGAATGAGATTGGTCTGGGGGAGGTGGGGATAGAGAGAGCATCCACATCTCCTGAAGCCCCCTCAGAGACAGGGGCATTCAGAATGCTTGCGAGTCCTTCGTGCCTGGCATGCGGCAGGCCCGTGGCACATGTTTACTGAAGGGGGAAACATAGAAACTGACCTTCGAAGCCCCTCCTCACAGTGAGGAAGTGAAAATACGTCAGCTGTCCCCAAGTGGTACAAAAGAAGTCAGACTGCCTGGTTTCATATATGAACATAGGGAGCTCAAGAAGGAAAAACAGAAAAACAGGTTCTCCTGTTTGGAACTAGAAAACTCTCAACGTCTATCAAGGGTCAAGGATTTTGTCCTACTCCCCAGTTGAATGTTAGGACATCCAGATAAAGCAGTTTCTATTCGTGCCATGAGAGGGGTTATAGATAAGTCTAGAGAGGTCAGAAACAAACCAGGCTGTTAAGACAAGCTGAATAGTTTGCATTTATCTTGTTGTGATGGGCAGCCACTGAAGTTTTTAGGCAAGAAAATTCCTTCATTAAAAATTAATATGGTGGTTTTATGAAAGAAAGAGGGGGTCAATTCAAGTCAAGGAGCTATTTTTTTTAAGGAGCTGTGTTAATGAATAAAGATATTAAGGCTTGATGAGTAAAAAGCCCATTAAAATGATTTCGGCTGACGGTTTTACTTATCATATCTTAAAACTCAAGTGTGACTCACAATTTAAGTGGTTTTGAATTGAAACCTCTTCACTTTATGACTTTTCTTACTATAAATAAAACTTCACCTCTGCCACTAGGAACCACCAGTTCTCATATTTAGGATTGCAAATTACCTCCAATCAAAAGGGCTCTCAACACCAGTGCTAATGCCAACTCAAGAAAAGGACAATCTAGCTACAGTTAGAGTGACAGTCGTTGCAGACTGAAATTTTGGGGGCACCTGGGTGGCTCCGTCAGTTAAGCACTCAACTTTGGCTCAGGTCATGATCTCGAGGTCCTTGAGTTCGGGCCCCGCAGGGGGCTCTGTGCTGACAGCTCAGAGCCTGAAGCCTGCTTCTAATTCTGTCTCCCTCTCTCTCTGCCCCTCCCTGCTCACACTCTGTCTCTCTGTCTCTCAAAAATAAATAAATGTTAAAAAAAATTTTTTTAAAGACTATGAAATTTTCTTTTTCAGAACTTATCATTCTGGTGTGTCTGAGGTCTTCATGCTTACTGAGCTAGAAATTAAACATTTTGAGGAGTTGATCTTTATTTTGAATGAAATTCACGGTTTCTGTAAGCAGTAGAGAAAGCATATGCTACTCTAGAGAGGCTCACCTGGAACAGACGTGTCTTTGTTCTGAAAGTCGTAGAGCCTTTTTTTTTTTTTTTTTTAAATTAAGGAGCCTCAGCAAAAAGGATTATTATGATAAAGCTTAACTATTTTTGGTTTATAATTGTTTAAAAACTATAATGTTAGAGGAAGTCAAAACATCTTTCATTTTTCCCGTGTTTCTTTTCTGTTTGCTTTTTTTGAGGTATAACTGAATAATATAACATTGTATTAGTTTCAGGTGGACAACATAATGATTCGAATTTGTATCTCAGAATGATCACCACCATAAATCTAAACACTCACCACCACACATAGTTACAAGCTTTTCTTCTTGTGGTGAGAATTTTTAAGTTCTACTTTTAGTAACTTTCAAATACGTGATACAGTATTAACTACAGTCCCATGACTTATTTTCTCCATAACTGGGAGTTTGCACCTTTTGACCTCCTGTACCCATTTGTCCCAAACCCCATCCCCTACTTCCACAACCACCAGTCTGTTCTCTATATCCATGAGGTTGTTTTTTTTGTTTTTCCTAGCTTCCACATGTAAGTGTGATCATGTGTGTTCCCATCTCCTAGCGTTTCTGTGGGCAAAAAGCCAAGAGGAAAGTGTTGGAGTACATACTTCTTGACTCTCTCCCGACTCCCTTTGGGATCTCTGTGTTAAAGAGATCTCTGGATCTCTGATCTACATCCCTTTATCTTTGAAATGTTTGACTCCTTCTCAGTTAAAAAGGCCAGTGCTGGCGCGCCTGGGTGGCTCAGTCGGTTAAGCAGCCGACTTTGGCTCAGGTCATGATCTCACGGTCCGTGAGTTTGAGCCCCGCGATGGGCTCTGTGCTGACAGCTCAGAGCCTGGACCATGTTTCAGATTCTGTGTCTCCCTCTCTCTGACCCTCCCCCATTCATGCTCTGTCTCTCTCTGTCTCAAAAATAATTAAACGTTGAAAAAAAAATTTAAAAAAAAAAAAAAAGGCCAGTGCTGTGCTCTAGCTCAACTGCCTGACACAGAGGGCCCAGTGACGAAGAGAGAGGGAGTAGAATGACTCAGCCTATAGCAGTGTTTCCAGTTCACCTTTCATTAGACAGCTCTTCATTTTGGAATTTGCTTAACGTATTTGCATAGCCATTGTAAAGCTGATACTGGGCTCCCTGCTTGGCTACCAGTTTTTTCTGTGTAGGTGCAATTGTTCAAACCGAGCAGAGGACAAGGACCCTCCAGAACCTAAGCACCTGCACGTATGTTTTTGTTTTATTTATTCGGGTTATTAATTTTGGCATTTTAATAGTTTGAAATGGGTGTCCAGAAATAAAATTTCAATTTCTCTTTTTAATTTTATATATATATATATATATATATATATATATATATATATATATATATTTAGTAGGCTCCACACCCAACATGGGACTTGAACTCATGACCCTGAGATCAAGAGTCACATGCTCCACTGATTGAGCCAGTCAAGAGCCCCTCAAGTCACAATTTCTATCATTGTGCTTGTTATAGGAGATAAGGGTACAACTTTAAATGGTGTGATTTGCAGCTTGAGTCCTATAGAGCCCTGGACACTCAGTCCCAGACTCCTCTCCTCTCTCATCTGTCACCATTCACCCTCTCCCTCATCTGCCTGGCCATCCTGGCCTCTGGTTGGTCCCCAAACACACCCAAAATATTCCATCTCAGAGTTTTCCTGCATTTGCTGCCCCCTCAACCTGGTCTGCCTCTGCTGCACATATTGTCAAGGCTCTGCCTTATCCCCTTTATATATTCCCCTCAAGTATCTGCTCCCAGAGAGGACCTCACTGACACCTCTACATAAAGCCACGGTCCTCCACTGGATCACTCTCAGCCTCTTCCCCTGCTTTATGTTCTTTACAGAACTTACCGTTTCCTGTTGCTATTCTTTGTCTACAATGACTTTCTGCCCCCTGTGGGATCCAAATCATTAATGGTGCAGACGGTTGGCCCAGAACAAAGCCTGGCTCCTAGTAGTAGGAACTCATGAGAAATATATTGAATAAAAGAACAAACAGTTGTTATCACAAATTTATAGTTTCTGACCTTCCCATAGATGGTATCAGAGGCCTTCTTGGTTTTCTTCTTTTTTTCCCTAAGGGTACAATTCATCAGAATGTGCTCGACTGTCAATCCTTTGCCCTTTCTGGATCTAGTAGGTTCCTTTGACTGTGAAACTGTAGGGAAGAAATAAGAGGACAACCAGATACCTACTGGTTTTCGGTAATTAATTCATATTTCATATGTTCTCAAACCTGAGTGGCTCCTCTCAATGTTGCTTAGCTTCTGAGAGAGAGAGAGAAAGAGATAGAGTGCTAGAGGAGAGGAGCAGAAAGAGAATCCTGAGCAGGCTCCACACTGACCGTGCAGAACCTGACATGGAGCCCGATCTCATGAACTGTGAGATCATGACCTGAGCTGAAATCAAAAGTCTGTGGCTTACCCACCTGAGCCACCCAGGAGCCCCTCAATGTTCTTAATTTTGCAAGGGATTCAGAAACAATTTCATCAAAATATTCCTTTTGCTGAGGAAAGTGGGTTTTTACCTTTATATCTACTGTGCCACGAACTGGGGCATGAGTCAAATCATTAGGTGGGAAGTCAGAATTTCTTTGCTATATTGTATTTTGTCTTTAAAGTCCCTGCGATTTTTCACATTTTCCTACAGGCCATCTTTACATCTCAATAAAGCATCTTTACTCAATCATCCAGTAACATTGCTGATCCAGTAGGCTGGCCTTCATTAATCTCTTGATTTGCAAAAGTCCCTGGCAAAGCACCTGTATCCTCACTGTAACCATTTACAAGAGAATATTTTTACATAGGAGGGTACTGAGCAACAAGACAGGAGACCTGTCCTTGTCCTAGGCCTAATAATATTTGTTGGGTCAGTTTCTGGGCAAGTTAAACTCTTTGAGCTCCAACATTCCAAGTGTATCTTTTCTTTCAAGGCTAAAAAAGTAATTTCAAATCTTCTATTGGGTAACTGGTCAATCTGTGAAGGAAAATCTACTAGTACACTCTACACTTTATAAAACCTTGTAAAAGAGGTTCATGGGTATATTTGGGTAAACATTGTGAAAACTTTGTTCTCAGATCTTTTGGTTGGCCCATGCCAACCTTTGTTTAAATAATTAATGAAGAAGCCCACAGGAAAACAAAAGAGCTGATTTGACATGCATTTGAGGAATGAGGATTTATTTTGTCAATAGGAAAGGAATGCTGAATTAAGCAGAAGTCCATTTAATAAGGTTAATTTCTCTAATAGCAATAATGTATCACTTTCTATTTTTTAAATCATTTAAGAGTTGCTCAGTGGGGGCCTTGCTTAAGATTCTTTCTCTCTCTCTCTTCATCTGCCCTTCTCCCCCACTAGTGCTCACGCATGCTCTCTCTCTCTCTCAAAAAATTGCACATCTCCAGTAAAGATTCGAAAAATTCTGTATTTTAGCTGACAAATTATAAGGTCAAATCTGGTATTTAAATCTAAATTTGCTGTGTGTATATGCCAAGTTTGAAGAAAAGTCTGAAAATATGAACGTGAACTTCCTAAGTCTGTAATTTATCAGTAAGATCCATCTGTTTCTAGGTCCACGGTTACAGAGAAAAGTCTTCAAGATTGTTATTGTTAGTTTTTAAATTTTACTATAAAAATTAATACAATGTCATTATTTAAAAAATAAAGGAACGAAATTGTATAAAATAAAAATGTGTATCCCTTCTTGTCTTACACACACGCGCGCACACACACACACACACACACACTTTCACAAAGATGGGATCACACTATACAAGATGGTCTACACCTTCTTTTTTCACTTAACAGTATCTCTTTGAAATCTACCCATATCACTGGATATGGATCTTTTCTGTTTAGCGCTGCATGGTATTCCGTTGCGTGAACATATCATAATTTGACTGCTCCTACTGATGAGCCCAGAGGTGCTTTCCAGTTTTTACTGAAAAGCAGCTAACAGTTCTTGAGAGCTCAGATTCGGGCATCAGCTTGCATGGCTCATAAGCCCAGTGGCTCTGCTTACTAACTTGTGTAAATCACTTCACTTCCCTCAGAATGCTTAGAATTATGCCTACTTCATAGTGAGTACTATATGAAGGTTCGCTATGGTATTGTTGCTATGGATACTAATGCAAACCATTGCTTTTATATATACCTGATTTTTTTTAATGTTTATATTTTTTGAGAGAGAGAGAGAGAGAGAGAGAGAGACAGAATGAGAGAGGGAGACACAGAATCTGAAGTAGGCTCCAGTCTCTGAACTGTCAGCATAGAGCCGACATGGGGCTTGAATTCACAAGCCGGGAGATCATGACCTGAGTTGAAGTCAGACACAACTGATGAGCCACCCAAGTGCGCCAATATATACCTGAATTTTAACTCTTTAATGGATCAGATATTTTTGAGGACACAGAATTATACCATGGTGGAAACCGCCGATGAGCCCTTAGTCTTCATTTCTTATTTAGCAGGAGAAGAATGAATAGAAAAGTATGCATTGCTCTGCTCATTGAATACCAGTGCTAGAGAGTGTAAATAAAAATATGTGTTTTCTGAATTTTTCCAATTCATCATCACTTCCAATGTCCTAAATCAGCCCATCATCTTCCCTCACCTGGGCTATTACAAAAATCTTCTAACGTTTTTGCCTGTCTGCTTCTGAGTTTCTCACCCCTTACATGTAACCTCTGACACTTCTGCCAAAGGAATATTCTAACGTTCCCTAATTTTTCCAGGATAAAATCTGAACTCCTTAACCTGGGATGCAAGGCCCTCTGTGAGGTGGTCCCTATCTCTCTCTCCAAATTCCTTTCTATAGCTCTGGCTTATTTCCACACTCCTGCCATATTGGCTTTACCTACACTCCTCTGAATGTACCATACTGTTTTCTCCTCTGGAAATTGCACACACAGAAATTCTGTTTCTTTGAATTCTGTTTCCCCTGTCCACACTTTGAAGCTTCTTCCTCTTTTAAGACCAAGATCTGGCCTCCCCATGTCTTTGAAATCTCCTTTGAGCTATAGCTCTCCAAAGGATTTCTGACAACCCTACTTTATATCATTTTGTACCCCTATTAGGGCACTTTTCATATGGCAATTGTATTCTTATGAAAGTTCAAAAACACACCAGACCACAATAAATATGAGGGAAAGGGCTCTGAATCATTCATTTTTATATGGCTTTAAATGAATATAATGTCCAATACATTATGTGAATGCTTTCTGAATTAATGAATGAACAATCTAAAACTGAATTTCTATTCACATTTCATTATAAGCCTGTTTCCTTAGGTGTGGGCATGTGGTAAAGCTGGGGAAATGCATTTACTTCCAGGGATATGCTAAAATCTTTCAAACAATCACTTTAAAGCTGACTTTAAGGCAGCCCAACATGAATCATGTTTTATGTGAGTGAATATTGAATAGACTCTGAAGTAGGAATAAAATGACCCAAGTTCTAGTCATGCCCTTACCACTCTCTAGTTATATGATCCTGAGACAGGCACTTAACTTGTGTTCATAAAGTAAAAAATGAGGGAGCCAAAAGGAATGATATGTCAAGTATTTCAAAGCCTTTTTTTCCAATAAGTTAAAGAAATGAAGATCATGCCTAAAAGAAGATTTGGCCTGCTCAAGTTCATTATAGCTCATTCCCTTATAGAAGAAACACCTTATAGGTGTTTTCAGATCAGCAGTGGCACAATGAACAGTGATTCCAAGTGTCAAAACTCATGAAATGACTATTGTAACAGAACAGACTATCAGATTTGACATTTCTTGTGAAAAATGAATGTGTCAACATTTTCTCATGTTTTAAAATAAGTGTGTGAAAGGGTATTCCCAGGGATCCTAAACAGCACAATTTAAACTGCATTCCAGGGGCGCCTGGGTGGTTCAGTCAGTTGAGCGACTGACTTTAGCTCAGGTCATGATCTCACGGTTTGTGAGTTCGAGCCCCATGTCAGACTCTGTGCTGACAGCCCAGAGTCTGGAGCCTGCTTTGGATTCTGTGCCTCCATCTCTCTCTGCCCCTCCCCCACTCATGCTCTGTCTCTCTCTCTGTCTCAGAAATAAATAAACATTTAAAAAAGATCTTAAACTGCATTCCATTTTTTTAAACCAACATTGTGGCTTAATTAGAGACTATACATAAGTGTAAATGGTTACTGTTTACAATGTCAGCCGTACACGTGTATGGATTTTTGTTGGTAGTAGAATTAAGGCATCCAGATATTTATAAACATTTTTACAATTCAAAATAACAAGTCATCTTGCTTTAATTTAATAAGAACAGTCTCACACAATTGTCAAGAAAGAACATATCCTTCTTTCCTCTAGGTCATAATCATGGGTGGAGACACAGAATACCAAAAGAAGATTTGTTAGGTATTAAAATCGTACTTTATTAACTAATTTAATGTGGTTGTACTGTGATTTTATTGAGCAGAAATTAAAGATTAAATTGTTTTACAATAAATTTTCACCATGTCCAAGAGTGTGATACTGAGAGGGCCCCCCTGTTTGGTAAAGGATGTAGCACTCACAAGGTGATTGAAAGACTTGTTGAACATTTGCTACCTGCCAGGCTAAGTGCTTTACAAATACTATTTTATTATCACTGAATTCTTAAAATGGCATTATAAGGACATACTATAATGACTGACACTTCATGAATGAGGACAATGAAGCTCAGAGTGGTCAGTACAAGTTGAGATTTTAACCTAGTTGCTTGATTCCAAAGGTATGATGTCTGTGTAATACCACACTCCCATCAACAAATAAAACATAGCTTAAAAGGCAGCATTTGGGCTGTGCCTCAGGAAGGGACTGAAATGAGGGATAATATAAGCAAAGCACCAGGATAGTTACAAGATAATGTGAACTGTGTCCTAGTGCAGCATTTCTCAAATTTTCATAAGCCGATGGATCATTTAAGGATGTCGTTAATTGCAGAGTATGGTTCAGTAGGTTTGGACTGGAGCCCAAGATCCTGCTATTCTAACAACCTCCAGTGATGCCAATGTTTCCCATCCTCAGACCACACTTTGAGTAGCCAGGCACTGAGGCCCAAATGGTTCAGTACCATGGACAGTGGAACAGGTAGGTTACCATTACCATCTTTTCCACTATTTCAGCAAAATCTACCATCTTCTGTGGGAAGATTCTTGTAACAAAACACACAGTCAGAAACTTTTTTGAGAAAGTACTTCCTGGATTGCCAGCAGTCATAAAGTGATCCTTCCCCACATTTGGTACAAATCTGTACAAAGGAAAGAATTGGGACTTTAGAAGAAAGACATTTTGAATCTATATGCTGTTAGTGTTCCTCAGGGAAAAATAATCTAATCAGATTATCATCAGATAAGGGGCTTAATACAGAATTTATAAAATATTTAAGTAATAGTATCTGCTGTAAAGTTATGAAACCTCTATTTGAGAGGAGTTAGTACTCTCACTTGCATGTTTAATGAAATTAGCAGCATCTTTCTCCTGCTAAATATGCTGAACTATCAGCCAATTGCCCATAATGAGAAAGAAAAATTAAAAAAATGTGCTAGAGTGGTATTCAAAATCATGGTGAAATAAAAATGACCTTAAAGATTTATTTGTAAATGTATTTCTGCTACCTTTTTCTTTCCCCTGTATTCCTTCTGCCTAATTCCAAATTTTAAAGATAAAATCAGATAGCTCATTTTCTTTAATTGACTTTGTCCTTTTTTTACCCCTTACTTTGAAACAGCAACTATGGCTTCCAGCAGAGATACCTTGGGGGCCTTGAGACTATCAATCTATTTCACAGCTGGAGTGAAATAATTCAGATGAGAATCTAGCAAACAATTGCATTTGTTTTCCATTGAAGATTAAAAAAAGTTATTTTTGACTGAGGACCTCTTCTCAAGTCTGGAGATGCTATGGGCTGCATTTACGGAAAAAGAAAATGGGTATATCACACAAACTTTCCAACACTCCATTTCTTAGCCTTGTTACATGATCTACTTAAAATACTTACTCTTTTTATTCCAGTGTATATTTTCAAAATGAATTTACTAAAAATTTGTTGCCATCCATTGGGCTTCCATTTATAGTATACCAGCAATGAAAATGTAGATCTTCATATTTCAAAAATTTTCTCAAGTTAATTCTTGATTCCAAAGGAAGAGTCTTCTTTTTTACTATGTTAAATAACATTAAAACAAGTTTGGTGTGTGTGTGTGTGTGTGTGTGTGTGTGTGTGTGTGTGTGTGTTTAAACATGTATTGAGAATCTATGTCACAGCTGTGAAGAGTCTTATATGTGTTGTTTCATTCAATTTGCACAAAAACTTTGTTCCTACTTAAGGAATGGGAGAAATGAGGTTCAAAGTTCCTCTGTTAGTAGTGTTTGTAGGTAGTTGAACTTGAATTACAGAGATGAGTGCTCTCTTCCCACTGTGCACTCTTTCTTATAAGATGGGCTTATTCTAGTGGAAATTTACAAATCTCATAAGGACAGTGCAAAAATATTATGTGTGAAGTGCCATGCAGCCTGATGGTGAGAAGTCCCATCCATTACTTCAAAGGCAGATATGGAGCTAAATTCAAAATCCATTATCAGCATGTTGTACTTACTGGACTTTTTTTTTTTTTCCCCAGATGGAGAGACACTGGCCATTAGCAAAGATTAAATAATTTACCTGAGCTTGCCCTGAGCACTCAATGCCAGGAAAGGATTTATAACTATTATCTTGGGAGTTGCTTAGTCTACTGAATTGTAGATAACTCTTTATAAAACATTTAATCTCAGTCTTATCTGAGACAGATAATAATTATTTTTAAAAGAAATGTAAATAATTCTTTTTTGGTGGTCTCATGTAGTCCATCTCTGCTTCTTCTTCTTTTTTGGCTGAATCACTGAAATCTGACTTCAGGAATGAAGGATCATCAATACCTGTGGCCATAAGAAAGGGATTATTTTTTCTTTCATAGCCCTTATCACTTCCTCTTTGAGGAAGGAAGGCTCAGGTACCCAATGTGTAAAATGGTTAGATGACCATTTTAAATGTTTCACCACTTGTATTACACGCAATGTCATGTTTGATGATTCTATGGACACTATGAACCTGATATTCATTCTCCAGAAAGCTAGTGAACATGACCAAGAGATGTCTACTCTCAAGAGCTCTATAGTAAAATGTGGTTTCATAAATATATAGAGACTACAACTAGAAGAAAGTCCCAGTGAAATCACACTCCTTTGGCGGGGTGCCTTGAAAAACGTGTAAGAAAACCAAGAGAATTAAGCAAGGGGCTGTGGGCTAAAGACTACTACTAGTTGCAGGTGGCGTAAAAACGAAACTACAAGTGGTTTATTGGTGTGGCTTATTTCTTCACCTCTCTGCCTACTCCTTCAGTTTTTGTTTTTGTTTTTGTTTTTTTAACATGTTGGTTGTGAATTTTTTACTAAAAGTGCCCAATCTCCAAACTCTTTAAGACGGGAAGATTGAACCACAAATCTCCAATTTCTATAGTCTCTCTCCTCATTGCTATGTCTGAATTCCGAAATGTGGAGTTGTTACATGGAATCCCTCTCCACACTCCCCCTTTCCTCCCATGTCAAATACACAAATATACTTCCTGGGAACCCCATACTTGCTTTCTAGTCCGTCCCCTAAAACATATTCAGGATGCACACAGGGCGTACCTCACTCCCAGTGCTGCAGCTGATGTGCTCAGCACATGCCAGTGTCATGGCTGGAATATCTAGTAACCCAGAGTTTTACACGAACCTTTATTTACTGAATTGACCTGCATATAATAAAATCACCACTCTGCCACTGCCAGATTGGAGGTAATTACCATATCGTTTTACTCTATGAATAGGGCAATCACTCACTGGACGTTTGGGAGCAAGGAGGAGTAACCTGTACCCCTCACTGACTTTGATGTTTGCAGTTCAACGTCAGCACCTTTCATCAAAGCTTTCAGCCATCTGGTTCGCCCTTATCAAGGCTTCCTGCCCATAACCCTCACCCCCTAGCCATCTCTCAGAGCCCCTTCGGAGGCCGACCTGCGACTGACCTGTTAGACGCCCTAGGGCGGTGTAGACAGAGGGGGCGTCCGCAGTGTCAGGTGGGAGCAGTTTGGCTCCGCTCGCGCAGCGCCCGAGCAGCCCGCCAGGGGGACCCCGACCCGCCCAGGCGGCGTCTGATAGGAAAGAGTCTGAGGGGCGTGGGGCCGTAGCGCCTGCTCCAGGAAAACCGGGAATCCGCAAGGGCTCCCCTATTGCTCCAGAGGACTGGCGGGGCGCCGACCTCGGCTCTGGGACCCGGGGCTCCACCACAGCAAGAGGCGCGCCCCACGGGTGGGTGTGTCCGTTTCCACCTTCTGGCCTTCCAGCCCAGAGAAGAGCTCCTGAAAGCGGGTATTTTGTTCCCACAGATAGATTTTGTCTGTGGTAATCCCGGCTCCAGAAGTGTAACTTTGCGGCCGGGTCACCCGTTGGGGGACTGGGGACCTGGGAGGGGGAAGAGCGGATCTTGTCTGCATCATCAAGGAGGAGGCGGGCTGCGAAAGCAGGGGCAGCAGAGCGGGGGGAGTTCCCACGGGCGGTGGGCGGCGGCGAGCTTGGCTCGGACCCGGGTCCGGATCGTGCTGTGACGCGCCTGGAAGCCAGCCCCGCCCCCCGCCCCAGCCCCCAGCTCCCAGCCCCCCGCCCCAGCCCCCAGCTCCCAGCCCCCCGCTCCCAGCCCCCACCCCCCAGCCCCCAGCCCGCCTCTTCCGCGCTTGGAGCGTGAGGTTCGGTGGGGATCTGTCTGGAGCCTAGCAGAAAACTTTTCCCCTTCCAGCCCCCGGGTCCCTTTTGTCTTTCTTGGAGGCGGCGACGACGCCTGAGCCGCGAGTCGCGCGCCGCACCCGGTGACCTCCGAGGGCTGGAGCGCTCAGGCTCCTGCGCTCGATGGCGGCGGCCGGCGGCCCCGCGACCCGCGGCGGGCACAAGCAGCGGCACGTCCCCCGCCCCGAGGCCGCCTCCGCCCCCCCGGCTCGGGGGTAGGGGAGCCCCCCACCCTCCCCCGCCCGCCCCCTCGCCTGACTCAGCCGCGCTCGGTGGCCGCGCCGCGTCCGCTGCCCGAGCTCCGCCGGGATGGGGGGGGAGCCCGAGGCTGACCGCGGCTGCCGAGATTCCCGCTGACGCCCCCGAGCCCGCCGCCGCCTCCTTCTCTGGTTCCGGAGGCGCCCGACGTCCCAACTGCTCCTGCAGTGCGAGTCCCGAGAGGCGACTGGACCCCTGAGGCCCCGCGCTCAGGACAGGTGAGGGGGAAGGGAAGGGTGCTGCCGGGCGGCGGGGAGGTGGGTGGACAGCCACAGCAGCCTTAGCGGGGCGCTTCTTCGCCCCCACGCCCCCTGCTTCAGCCACCAGAGTTAGGGTAAACACCGTCTCCCGAAGTTTGGGAAAGGAACCAAGTCCGCCATCAGTTTCGGACTCCCCAGCGCCGAGAGCGCAAGAGAAGCTTTGCGGGGCAGCAGCCTCCGGTAGCCCAGAGCCTTGGAGCGCCTGGCTAGGTTTCTCCGAGCTACACCCTCCTTTGTCTCCGTTCCAGAGAGTCAGCATTCTCTGTGAAGACGTCCACAGCGGCAATTTATAGTAGTCCTTGGCAGGAGCAAAGTGTAGTCAAGGTTTCCTAAAGCAGTATGTGGTAGTATCTACCTGGACGAAATGGGGAGGCGAAGCAATTATTTGCCAAATTCAGCATTACTTTTCTCCCCATGCAGTCATTTGGTCTGCCCTCAGGAAAAAGAGCTTGGGGTTTGCAAGATTTGCTTCAGTAATCATTCTTTTGCTGTAATTAATTGTCCAAGCCAGCCTTTCACATTGTGTAGGTGCAAGCTCTCTGTGTCTATGTATTGTCCTTAGATTTTGATTGAGAAGTGTATGTGTGTGATAATTGTAAAAAAAAAAAAAAAAAAAAAAAGGATTCATTATTCAGTACCAGGCACTGGTAATGCCAGGAAGTCACATGCTTCACATGTATGTAATTTACTAATTGGAGTCATCCCAGTCCACCTTAGCCTGGTGTATTTCAGAACTAAATGTTGCACTAAAGTGTCTCTTCACCTTGTTCTTTCTTCTGAAGACCTTCAGAAGTACTCGTGGACAACTGTATATAGAGAATACATGTAAGGAATCGACAACTATTCTTATTTGTCAGTAAGAATATTCAACTCTTCTGGATTTGCAGTGAAACCGACTTCTGAGGTACACTTTCTGAGGGGCTTTATGCTAAATATTCCCAGCTCCTGTGAAAGCTACTCACTATGATGGTTTGTCATGACTTGCATTATAGAAATACTTACTATCAAATGACCTTCAGTTTGTTACTTGGCTACTGACTCTAGAATATATTACCATTGTGTGAAAAGTTGGCTCAGTTTTGAAACTTTTTATGTTTTTCTGCTGTTTATATAGAAGCAACTGCTTGTAGTTTCCTGCTTTTCAAACAGCATAAGTGAAGGAGTCCTTCTAAACAAAATAATATTTAAGTGGAAACTATAGGGAAGTGTTTTAGCAATTTAATATTATGAGATTTTTTTTTTACTCTTACAAATGTATACTGAAGTGTTAGGAATGATTTTCTCTAACCAAGTCCTAGTAGAGAGCTCATAATTACAGGATGATTTAGCTGTAATTTGTAACCCTGGTTATAATTAGCTTTGTATCCTAGGCTGGGAAAGCCTTCAGTGAAGGAGCGAGTTGTTGCCTGCGAAGTCTCTGTGTGATTTCCAGGCGGTTGGCACAGAAAGTCTTTACCTGTTGCTCCTGAGTCTGGTCCAGGTAAAGGTATGCGGTATCCCAAGGGCACCCATAATCAGAAGGGATTTTTCAGGAAAGATCACTGTTTGGAAGGATGACTACACTTGTTATTTTAACTTGGAGGAATTTTTAGTGAAGCTTTTGAGTGCTCCAAGGGCTAGATTGCTATAGTCAGACTTGGGTGGTTTCAGCAATAGCTTATTGGCAGAAGAAGAGAACTACTCATACATAGGGGGGAGTGAGGCTGAACTGATTGTTTAAATCCATTCATTCCCGTAAAGATTCTCAGCCTAAAGGAAACAAAAATACATATTTAGCTTAGGAAAATAGATAAGAACAAAGATAAAAGCAGATGTCACCTTTTACATTTCTTGAGCAAAATTAGTAGAAGATAAATTAATAAGTCCTCCTAATAATGCACTTTAGTTACTAAACACAATGTAGAGTCTAAAAGGGAAGGCAGCTTTAAAATAAATTTTGTTGACTGTTAACTCTCCCTTAACAGGAGACAGCACGGAAAGTCTTCCTCAAGCAGAACACATTTGGGAAAAAAAACAAACATGTAGACACCAAAAAAACAATTCTGCAGTGAGATGGACCCCTCATTTTATAAATTGTATAAATTTTATATGTAGTGTATAACTACACTACATAAATGTGTAGTTTTGTCAAGTGTATCCATTCCATTTCACGACTTAAGACAGGTTTTGTCTGCTAAGGTCTGTTACGTGCGCAAACACTCAGAGAACACGGAGGGACAGCTGTTGTGTCCTACTAGCCGATGGACTCCTCTGGGAGCCAAAGACGGGTGAGGAGAGGGCTGGAGAGCGTGTCACAGATCCCTGAGCACCTGGGATGGTCCTTGAGCACCGGGGGTCTGGTGCATACTGGGAGCAGTGCGGTGGGTTGCAAAGAACCCTGGATGGGGAGTTGGAAAACCCAAGTTGTCGTCCTGACCAGGCTGCTGAATACGTGACCATGGATATGTTCCTTGGCTTTTCTGGGCTTCTGTGTGTGCCCTCGTCCCCACATTCCCTTATCCGCAGATCGAGGGCTTTGGACCATGATCTTCTGTCCTCTTTTTAAAATGCTGTATGATGGGTTCCGGTGGAATTGAGAGGGAGAAATCAGAATGTAGTGTGCGAAGGGTGCAGTGAGTAGAGTTTGGGTCAGGGGAGGACAAGCTGGACACCACGCTGGGCACAGGGAAGCGGTAATAATGATGCTAATACAAGGTAAAGGGGCACCTGGCATCTGGCCCATCATTGATTATCTTCGTTATTTATAATATGTAATAAAATAATAAATACCAACTTTTGCTTAGTTGGCTTAGTTGCTTGGATGGCTTTTCATGAATTTTTGCAAATAATGGCAATTGATTTTTCACAACATCCCCAGGAGGTAATTAGAGCGTAAAGGTGCCGAGGCCAGGACTAATACTGCAAAGCATGCTTGCACCAGTGCACCTCATTGCCTTTCTGCAGAATTGTAGAGATGGGAGAAGTTAGAATGTGCTTTGGAAACCCTGTGTTAATGGGACAGAGTGATAAGGTTGGTGTCAGATTTTAGTGGAGGTGCAAATTTCTGAATAAAAATTTAGGTTGCCTTCTGGAAGATAAGTCTGCGATTATGGGATCTCGAGACCTCCTGAAATGTCTTGAATCTTATTGTTGATGTTTAGTCTGATTATTTCTGTGTGCTTCCTCCCCACCTAACCTTCCCCAGCAGGAATTCTGGGGATTTGATTACAGGGTCATCGATAAGACTCTTCCAAGAGCTTTGAGTGCAGATGGGAAAAGGAAATTCTCATAGAAAGGTGGGGATTTGGGGACCATTGCACTGCTAATAGGATATGTTCTAGTAGCAAGTTGTGCTCTGGAAACTTTGTCACTGGGGGTAAAATTACATAGGAGTCATAAGAATGTGAACAAGGTGTGAAGATGTGAAGATGTGTGTCTATACGTTCCCTCCTGCTGCACACTCATCTCTGCCCTAAGCATTAAGTGCATCGCCAAGGGTGAGCAAGTTCCCCCCAGCCCCGCCCCATTCTGTGTTCCTGGTGAAGGGAGTTCGTCAGCATTCATCTGATTATTTGTGTGAGGAGCCTATATTTCACTAGCTTAAGCAAAAAAGGATTTATTGGCTCATGTGACTGGAAAGTCCAAAGATGGACCTTGCTTCACTCATGGTGAGAACCCAAAGACTCACGTGGCTTTGTCAGGGTCCTTTCCCTCTCCCCCCATTTCTCAGCTCCACTTGTCTCCGGATCAGCTCCATTCCAAGGCCCCTTTCTATGTACTAGAAAGCTGACTCTCAGTAGTTCCCAGCCTATATTCTTGGGCTTTTGAGACATAGAAAAGAG